GTAGCATAGACACCATGTCTTTCTCTCGCGTGACGTCTCGCTCGCGCGTGCTAGTTTCAATCACTCGCGCCCAGTTGACTTTAGAGCATGTTACCCAGCTTATGTGTAATGATGATAAGGGTAATTGAAATGAGAATAAAGGTAAAGTCAGACTGGCACAGACTCCCCGTGTGGCTCCTGTGGTCGCGTCGCATTATCGTCTTCAAATTATGTATTTGCTCTCACAAGCATGTCTTAAAGGAATTTTCCCTTTTTGTAAGAGATGATCGGAGGTTTTGTAAAAATTGTTTTCAGGAAGGGCTGATTGTGTATCAGACTCCAATGCTCCATCAGTATTCGTTTTAAAATTTTAACTGCCGGGTGGTACGTTGTGACAAAAGGCAATAAACGTTCGTGACCTTTTGGCTTTTGAGTGTCCTGTGTAGAATAGAATAAGCCTTTTACTATCGGTGCTCGGAGAGGTTTGTAGTGAATGCTGTTGTCAAGTTGCACTTAAACCTCTTCTATTATTCCGGTCTTATTCGTGATGACTGTTGTTGTACCTTTGTCTCGGCTTTTTAGAGGTTTCAAGCAAAGTTGTTTTTCAACTCTTTTAGGGCCGTGACCTCATTGCGTGACAAATTACCTTTTGGTTTAGTTACAGTGATCTCTGCAAGCGGTCCTTTGACAATTTCCAAGTAGCTCTTAAGGACAAAAGGAGGCTGAACCGGTGGCATCCAGTTTGATTTAACATGAAACAGATGTGGTTCTTTTTTTTTTGTCCGTTATAGATGTATAACGCTCCGATCCCAACAAATGGTTCCCCACACATGGGGAGTCCGTGCTGATCTGTCGTTGCCACTATTCTCATTTCAATGTTCCTCATCATCAGTAAGCAAGATTTGATTGGTTCATCTTTGCTTAACAAGCGGAGACTGGTTCAAGTAAGAATCGATCACAAATCGATACTAGCACCAACACTGAGTTTTATCACTAGCGATTGCCATTTTTTTCAGCTCTGACGATTGAGTTTTATCACTAGCGATTGATATTTTTTTTAGCTCTGACGATTGAGTTTTATCACTAGCGATTGATATTTTAGTACTAACGATTAATACTTTAGTACTAATACGATTGATACTTTAGCTCTAAAACTGAGTTTTATCACCAGCGATTGTTATTTTTTTCAGCTCTGACGATTGAGTTTTATCATTAGCGATTGATATTTTAGTACTAACGATTAACAGGAGCCCTTTAGGGTAATGGACGATGGACTCCTGCGATTAAGTATTATCACGAGCGATTGATATTTTTGGCACAAATGGCTCCCCATAGATTTCCCGCTATAAACGTGGACTGCAAATTATTTGCCTACACGGTTTCACATCTACTAGCCCACGTGAAGTCCTCGTGTAATGCCCAACCGTGTGCCCGCGGTTCGCTGTACTAATGTACGTAGAAAACATCGAAATGGACAACTCGCTAAAATGAGTTTCTTTTCATCAAAGTAAGCGGTCAGATAACAAGTGATACGCTGTGGAAGTAAGGTGAATCGTGGACATGTATCGCAGCCAGGAAAGTGGCTCAACATTGATAACAATAGGCTTTGTTATACAAGCAAAAAATGACCCAATATGGCCATTTTTGAACAATGGTGGAACAGCTTTAGAACACATAAGGGATTTTTGTCCAAGTTTCCGATAACCATACGAGTGGGAAATTTAAACGCTCGGAAAGACTGAAGAAAAGACAAATTCTCCCTGGGGAGGGTGATACTGGTAGGATTCGTTCAGTGCAAATAACGATGGTGCGGGGGAAGGGTAGGGGTAACGGTTGCATTAAGGTGAACAATATTAAAGCTTAGAGGGCGGTAGTTTACAACTATGATATCGCCGCTTTTTGCTTTTATCTTGCTTTAGAATGGCCAAAGATATATTTAACTATTTATCCTGAGACGCACTACGCTAAGCTTTGACGACGAGAGGATGCATTTAACCAAGGAAGCGAGGCGTTCGCCATGTAGTGTAAAACAATAAAAATAGAACTATATCTAATCTGAAATATTGTAAGGGTTTCCTTATATTGGTGATAGGAAAAAGGAATGGAAATATTATATTACTTTAAGCCATTCGATACAAAAAATTATAATAACCAGGTTGATTATTTCTTATTCCTTTTGGCGGTCTCATCTAAGCACCATTTCTTTGATGTGAATTTGGCATGGAAGTAGATGTTCCGTTTCTGCTGTAATTAGAACTTTTTGTAGTATTTTGAGATCAGCTATACTTTTAATTATGTCAATTTGCTAGTTAAGAAAGAGAGTAAATCTCTCTGGTAAAAGTTAACCTCGTACAGGAATTCCTGGAAATTACCTTTCCTTTAGTGCCACCTTTATAAGCTGGTGCACAGCATTTTCAATCAGATAGAGCAGAATAGAGTAGAGTTGAGTTGTGTTGAAAGAAATAAGCTGAACTATATTGAGTAAGGTCAAGACTGGGCTAGTCCCCGAAAGAAGAAAATTGTTGTACAAGGAGTTCAAGCCAGAAAATAAAAGTATTCAACCGAGTATTAGAGAAATCATCTAACAGTAGTCATAAACTACGAGCAATCCCTCTCTACTCTGTCCGATCATGATTTTCCAAGCATACAGCGAAAAGAAGAAAATAGCAGCGAGAAAGTTGGAGGGGGATACTTTCACTTTCTCGCGGACGGACTATCGAATCACGAGTACGCCGCTCTTAGATTTATCTTTCATGGTACGTGAGCAGTTCAGTCGCGCGCTACGCAAGTCAGACTTAACTCTTTGTGTGCATGATAAATAAGGTTAATAGGACTGAGTGGAGTCCAATTCGGTCTGAAATCAAACGAGTGATGACAAAATCAGACGACCGCGAAGCGGAAGTCCGATTTGTTTATCATCGGGGGCATTCCTAATGGTCGAAATGAGGCTTTCGTTGGTTCGCTAAGCGAACTGTTATCGGCTGCTCCCCGGAGACAATACATTTCGTACCGGTGCAGAAGGCTCACTCTGACCAGCCAACAGGTAGAATTTGGTCGAGATCCTCAGCTGTCACGTTAAACCGGCTTCTTCCTTGAGTCACGTAAGAAAAGAACTGCTCGAACAATGTCTGGTCCATCGGCACCTTCACGGTCGTTCGTCGGACATAACCATTTTGAGGAGTAGTCCTCGTAGACAATTTTTGCCCAATTTTGCACACCAGCTAATGGATGACTTTTTGCTTGGCTGAAATAAATGAAGAGAAACAAGTTAGATTCACAATAAACACCAAACGAAGCCAACACTATTTACATAATATACTGACCTTCAAGAGCTGAGCCGGCAAAGTTTTTTTACCGCACTATTGCAGTCCTCTTCTCTCACCCAGCTATCAGCTCTGCTTCCATACCCTTTCCATCTTAGCAGATATTCCTTCTGCCCATTGACCTTTCGCACGTCCAAAACTTTCGAAACGCAGTAATACTTAGGTATCTTTTAGCACGGGGATGTAACTTTCACGAATGTCACTGACATGTTGATTAATAACATTAACAAATTGACTCTAATTATCAGAGCGGGCGGTAATGTATCACCTACGTTTATTCATGTTTACTGGCGCGTATCTACTTACTGTCTCCATTTACCCTCGTAAATACGTGAGTTCAGTGCAAAACTTTGAAAACAGTTGTAGGCACCTTATAATTTACGCTGATGCGTGGATGTTAATGCGTAAATCTGTTGCAGATGGGTTTTCAATAAAGTCTGTTAGTCCTCAGCTTCTACGTTCGCTATGAATGATCAACTAAATAGGTTCGAAGTAAAAACGAAGGAATGGTATGGGGCTCGCTTTGTTGGCTTAGTTGAGTTGCGGTCAGCTGAGCGTGTTGCGAACAGAAAACGATCACATGTAAATTTTCTTCTGAGTTGAAAACAAAACTTTTGAAGGTGCTTCTTTATTTACATGTTTTATGATTGCTGCGTGATTGAAGGAAGTTTTCTGCGGACTAAAATGTCCTTAGGTGATTATTCTTTCCTGTAAGATACAATCGGTGTCTGGTTAAAGATATGTGCAATTCTAGGCTTCTGTTGAATGATGTGCCAGTGTTCCATGAGAACCTTTTTAAGATTCGGTGTGGCCGGGTTATAAGTGGTATCAAACGGCAAATTTTTTTCGCCTTCTCTGTTTTGTTACAAATGGTCACTTGTTCTGTCGGAGAACTAAACTTCAGTAAGGATTTTATGAACGAGCGTCGTAGGATAGCCTATGTTACAGAGTCATTGCTGAAGATCTTGTTTGTGTTTATCAAAATTCTCCTTTACTGAGTTTGTTCTCAAAAGACGTAGTGCTTCTCCTTTGATGAAACCCTTTTTTCGTATTGAAAGGGTGGCACGATGAGAATTGTGTATACTGAAAAGTTTCAGTGGGCTTCAAGTAGGTTTGTGAAAAGAGAATTTTAAGAGTTGAAAGACGAGGTCCTTTGAATATCTCTGTGTCGAGAAAAACAGCATGTTCGGTGATATTTTTCAAGTAAACTTGATTGTGGAGTGGACCGAGTTAGCGAAATCTACAAAAATAGAAATTTCCTCCATTGGAATGTTCCACGAAGAGAATATGTCATCGATAAACCTCTTCCAGACGAATGGTTTAAGTAGACTGGCTGCTAACAGTCGTTTTTCAAGGTCCGCCATGAAAATAACAGAAAAAGCGACTGCCATTTTAGTTCCCATAGCGATGCCGTGAGTTTGTGCGAAGTGTTTTTTCATTCAACTTGAAAGAATTTTGTTTAAGTATGAGCCGCATTAGTTTCCGTAAATCGCTTGTAAGGATAGGTAATTTCTGCTCATAGTGATCTTCGTAATAGCGGCAAACAACGTCAATTCCTTCATCTTGAGGAATGTTGGTGGAGAGAGAACTAACGTCAAGTGTGGTTGGAACCACATTGTCTGGAATTTGCGTGTTTTCAATAAAATTGAGAAAGTCGGTAGTGTCTTTAATATAGGACTCTTGTTTTATGATGATAGGTTATAGTAGTGAGTCTACAAAACTAGAGATACGCTCTGTTGGACCACTATTACCAGAGACGATTGGTCTGCCGACTGGTGTTTCCTTATGGATTTTAAACAACGTGTAAAATTCTGGTAAACGTGATTGTTTAAGACCAATTGTTAACCATTTGTAGGGCATTAGGTCGACGTGTCCCGAACGGTATAGTTTATTGACCAGTTTGTTTACTTTTCGGGCGGTGTCTTGCACAATAGGAGATGGGAGAGACTTGTGAAACCTGTCATCAGATAATTGTTGTCAGCCTTCATCTACTTTTTATGTGGTATCTAACATGACTGTTGTTGTTCCTTTATCCGCTTTTTTCAGGTTAATTTTGCTGTTGCGTTTTAGTGCGTATCATCTCTCCACCGCAGCGCAAATATATGAATTTTCATATATCTAAAATCATCATTCACTTGGATGTTTATTTGGACCCAATTCATTAACCAGCTCCCAGTTGGCTTGTTAGCTCAATTGGTAGAGCGCTGCACCGGTATCGCAGAGGTCATGGGTTCAAATCCCGTATGGGCCTGAATCTTTTTTCAGGTCCAATTTACAACTACTCGTTTCAGTAGTGTTCTTAGCTGCGAGGATCTCTTAATTTCATCTCTCCACCGCAGTGCAAATATATGAATTTTCATATATCTAAAATCAGCATTTCTTTCGTTGGCTGAAATGTTATCAATTTAAGGGCGGAAAACTGTTGAGGTAAGCTTGAGTTTTGTTTCTTCCAGGTAATTCTTTAGACGAACCGAGTTGTCGTTCTTTGGAATGTATTATTTAGAGTCAGAGAAAGACACACAAATGTAGGGTTCAAGTCTGTTTTTATTTGCATTCACTGATTCGCTAAGCTGACGAAACATTTTCTGTAGCTCGGATAGTTGAGCCTGCAGGAAGACAGCTTTATGATAAAGCTGTCGTCCTTTCAGAGCTGTTTTTGTTCTGTCGATTTGCTTATAGAGCCAGTGACAATTAGCTTATATTCTTATTTTTTCCCTAAACAATCAGAACATAATCTTTAGATTGTCTTCGTCAAAAGGGAAAGCCTGAAATCTATTGAAAGTCGTAAGAAAAGATGGGAGCAAAACTTGTATACATATTTAATTGTAATTAGCTTGTGTTGTCCGTACTGCATTGTTTCTAACATCATTGACATACTCAGCTGCACCTTGTGTGCCACTTTTTTGTTCTCACCACATTTTAATGTCATCTGTGATCCATAACTGAACAGATGCACAACAACATAGAATCTACTGGTTAAATATGATATAGAGGCAAAATGTTGATAGTGGGGATATCAGCTATGTGTCTGTGCTCCAATAGATCATAAATAAATAAAGAATTAAAGATAATAATAAAGAATTAAACATATGTGTATACAATTCATCTTAATATATATACGATTAATAATACACCATTAAAAACTACCTGTAGTTAACTGTAAAACATCATTTGATTGATCATGTAATTGACAACTTCAAGTCCAGGAAACTAGCTTAATCTGAGGTTTTTTTGCGATGAGTAAGAGTTGCAAGTTCACTTTGTATTTACAAGAAACCCAGCTACTAATTGAGGAAATCGGTTATCGATTTATATTACAGCTAAGATGTGCCTGATCTCTAAAAGACAGCAACACTTTTAACCTTACCTTGGACCTACAAATACATTACTCGTTTGCAAATGTTAGCTTTGGAATCAATTAGCTCACAGGTAAAATGTCCATTCGCCTTATCATAAGCAGCAATCACGGGGGATATAAATAGAGAAGCTCTTCCTGGAGTTGAGCTTGCGCTGAACCGTTTCTGAAATTTGGCTGTAACAGGACCAGCTGAACCATCTGCTTTAATGCTGGCCATCACTGTTGAATTTTATAACACCAACACCTAAACCTAACGACAGACTGTAGTTCCAGTTCAGTGTGGTAGAGGATCCTTCACAAACACGTACAATGTCAGTGGGGAGCACTTCACTTGGATTTGATGTTGTCCTAACCAGAGTAGAGTACTTCATACCATGTGACACTTCCGCCATCCGAAGGAGAATATTTTAGATCGTAGTTGAAACGTTTCATGTTTTCGATTTCGTCAAAACAAGAACAGCTTTCCCCTAATTTTGAATAATCTAAAAGGCACAGCAATCAAAGATAAATTTTAAACGAGAAGTCATTATAGAAATGCCCTTGATGCCCAAAGATGAGTGTACTGAACCCTATAAGAACATAATCGGGGAAGACCGCATAGCTCCATCCTATCAAAAAAAAAAAACCAAATCCGTAGTCCCAAAGGCAATCTGTTGTTTTCTTGGATGTTTTCTTTATCTAAGTATAAAATATGAAGCTGTGAAAGTCTTGGCCAACATCGCCACAAGTAGGCGATTTTAAAAACGGAACAAGTTGCTCTAGATAACGGTGTCGACAAAATCTGGATCGGACCAGATCAGATCATTGGCCGGATCACGGATTGGATCATGGATCAGATTA